GAAGAACTCAAGCAAGAATCAGGTTAGCCGCTTACTACCTTTACTTTTCAGCTTTTTCGTTAGGCACCATCAGGGAAGCCTGTAACGGTTAAGGAAGGAATATCCACTGAACTGTCCCTCTTGCCTGATTTGCTATTTTGCAGGAAGATGAATGAACGGTCACTGATTTTAACGGCATCGATGCCCGTATTGACAACGGTGAAGCGGAAAATGGACGCCAATGTGGACATACTGGAGCAGGTGAGTATGATCGACCACCTTGTCCTTTACGTCACCTCCCTGCCCAACTCATGGTCAAGGGCGAGCTGTTGTATGACTAGAGCCTGATCAGTTGGCATTCATAATGTTGTTTGATCCGCTGTGTCGAAGCAGCAATGCCCATGACACATCGATGGCTTCTAACAAATTATATTTTAACGAATGCTTTGGTTACGCCATGCTCATGTTAGCCTTCAGCAATCATAAATGAGGTGATTGATAGACCACGAATTCTCCGATTCCTTAGTGTAATGGGCAAAATCTTGTTTTGCTATAAAGCTCAAAGTCTCTAACTGATCCTTTGTGGTGATGGTGACTTGATTAATCTCTGAATTAGTAGGGTTCATGTGCTCCCGCTCAAGCTTTTGATAGAACCTACACGACAGCTCTACACCAATGCAATCCCCAATGCGAAACCCAGCCCTTGTACTTCATCTTGTGAAGCTTATTGAAGTAACTCGAAACCCGTTGGATACTCCCTTCCATTACGATAATATTTTGTAATAGTCTTTCACACACACGCCAGTTGCGAATTCAGATAATATCAGCTTTCATACCAATCTGAGCTTTCAGATGTACCCTTTACTATACGAAAAAGGCAAAAAGTTGTTACTGCCTTCTATTCATTATTATTCCTTATCATATTGAGCAGCTGTTCTGTAAACTTCAGTGTCGACAGCGATGCGTTTTACTTCGACAAACCCGTCGAAATACGGTGGTGTTAGTGCTGATGGTGTCGTTCTTCTTCATTGCATGGTGTCCTCACAACGTCGTCTCGGTGGCCTTAGAATTCACCGATGGTGACGCTTTCCTCATCCACGAAACGGATTATTCCTATTTGGCTAGCCTCATGTCTCACAGGTACGTTACCATCAAATTCTTGGAGTATTGTAATAAATGAAGTTACCCATGTCACTGGTTTCCAGAGATTCGACTCCAATGAAGCCAAAGGCTTCAACCCTATTGAAATTCGGTTGATACCAAAATCATCTACTCAGAGGAGCAAATTTGAAAAGAACAATCCGCTCTGAGTTGATCAATACAGAGTCGAGAACGCCACTCATCAATATCCATTCATGGTCATTGAAGCATTTGAACGTGGTCAAGAAAGTCAACATTAAAAATTTTGACGGGGAAACCATCAATGGGACTCGGGGAGTGGAAGGAAGTTTGAACACTGCAGGCCAAGAAGCGGGGTCTTTCACAATTTCCGAATTTATCTCAGGGAACAATCTTTTTTTACCCGCAGACGTCAACGATCCCTCGAATTTCTCTTTCAGAAGCTTTTTAATAGTATCCCATGATTTCAATGATGGTTTTGCCTCGAAGATAAGGCTATTTCATTACAGCACCGCAATGATCAGCACAATAGCCAATCCATTCCTTTATGGCTTACTCAATCGAGGCTTCATCTCCCACGTACGCCATGGATGGACGAATTCAATGCGCAAATTCCGACGGAACGATGCAGAAATATGTGCTGCTTTGATGTAGAAATCAATACTAACGAACTTCTACATGGCATTCATTCATACGCAGTGTAGGGACACGCCGTTGTCCTACAGAATATTTCCTTTTTTCCAGGAATAATCAGCGATCTCATGATTGTAGAGTTCGTATTTTTCTTGTTATCCATCCATTTTGGGCTTCTTATTCTATAATTATAAGCTCTGACCAGATTGTTCCCAATTTGGCTCATCGTACGAGTAAGGCTTGCTCAACATTGTGCACTCATGTGTTCAT